TCATCCTGGACGAAGTTTTCATTACGTTTGTTGATGGCATAATTAGTCAAATGCATGCAGATATCATCCTGAGAGAGGAACCACAAAGACTTTCATTTACTCTTAACCACAGAGCATAAATAGAAACAGCCCCATTAGCACTAACCTAGTCACCAACTTCGCCCACTTCTGTCTCTGTGGCGGTGACTTGCAGCAAGGAGTTATTCATGCTGGTGATTCCCTCACTAGCCAGAAGTTAGAGCTCACAGAGCTCTACCCTCTCCGCACCTCTGTCCTTATCTCGGGGGGAGAGCACAGGAGCCAGCTCCATAAATGCCATTCCAGCCGTGGCCTCACTGATAAACAAGGGACTCCTCAGGACAGAAGCTGCAGCAAATTTCTGCAGATTCTTCCTCTTCCGTTGTTCACCCAAAGCAGACGACCGCTCCAAGGCATGCACGTATGGGAGTGAGGGGGGACACGTACATACGCAGCTCTGGGACAAGTGGGCAGATAGCCAGAAGGCCGGGGTATCTCAGGGCAGCCCGTGACCATAGCACAGCAACCCAACACTAAGGTCCATCTTCTCTTGGGATTTTACAGATTACACACCCCCGCTTGGAGATGGGCACGGCCATACTCTGCACCTTGCTTTCCCAGTTCTCCTCCCTGTCTCTCCCAGGCTGTTCCAGTACCACCAGATAATCCCCAGGTCCCTCTTTTCCACCTGAAGCACAGGCAGGCAAGGAATGGTGTGGACTTGAGAACGCTCATAAAGGCAAGAAGCAGTAGGAGTGTTGCCCAGAAACACTGTGGGGTCTCCGTCCTTGCAGGTTTTCAACACCTGACTGGGTGAAACCCCAAGAAATCGGATCTGAATTTATTGTTGACCCAGTTTTGAGCAGAAGGTTGGACTTGAGACCTTCCAAGCTTCCTTCCAAGCAACACAACTCCATGATTCTGTGATAATTCCAGTAAACAGCCCAAATGTGGGGCCTGGGAGTAGATCTACTTCAGACACTCCTGAAATACCTCCTGTGAGGAGGAGGAAGAGGTACAGAGGGAGGGGAGAACAGGAAAGAAGAAAGCTGGGTCCCATGAAACCCTCCAGTCCCTGTCTTTTCAAGGTCTGGAATGCCCCTAGGATAAATTAGGGACTAACACCTACAGATACTATGCGAGTTTTTTGGAAACTTCCCTTTTTTACCAGGTTTCTGCTGCTGGGATCGATGTACCTCATGGTGGCAAACCGGGCCAGACCCTCCTTGTGGACAAAAATCCTCAGTGGGTCACAAGATGTGACCAGCACATAGATACGCATGTCAAATTTAAAGCCATCAATAAGGAAAGGCTGCGAGAAAAAAGGCAGGAGCAAGCATGAGATAAAGAAACATTGCCAGGCGTGCTGCTGACTCCTTGAGGTTGGCTGCTCTATCTGCACTGCTTGTGCCACTCCTTGGCAGCTCAGCAGCGAGGAGAAAGGCAAGCTTTTGCCGTGCCTCTGCTGCACTGCAGCCACCCCGGTGCCCCGGCAGATCCAGGAAGACGTAGGGCAAAGGACATAAGGATGCGGGATGCTGGAAGGGCTAGGAGGTTGCAATCCTCCACCTGTATTTCGAGACTGTCCCCATTACCTTAGAGATATACTGCTGACAGATCATACGCTCTCCATGTTTGATCTCCTCTGGATTACGTGTTATGAAGATACCTCTCCCTTGGCAGCTGCTGTCTGGCTTGCAGATGAACGTTCTGTTTTTTCTCGCGCGTCTGTAGGCCTGGAAATCTCCATAGCTGTGCAAGGAAGGGGTGACTGTTACAAGCTGCAAAAAGCCAGCCTCTGAACTCTCCCATAACAGTTAGGTACTCAAACTAAGGTGCGGCGGGCCAGTACAGACGAAACTTCTGCAGCAGACTTATAGTACACATATCCCTGATCTACATGAGTTACAAATTGGTCCTTGTGTGACCTGACAAAGCTCTCCTGCTTCCACCTTTTACTTGCACACATCTCCACCTCGACCAGGAGGTTCATAGGAAGTGGTCACCGCTGTCCGTACAGGAGCCAGTAAGATTTTGGCTCTGCTGCCACAGAGAGAGCAGGAGAAAATAAACAAGACCTGGCTACAAAGGAGGAGGAGGTCACAAGTCTTTACATCTCCTTTTATGCCAGCTCATCAGCAAGCAGGCAGGAGGCCACGGCCAGAGCTTTCTAAGCGGGGTGCAGAGCCTCGCGAGCTGAGCGCGCCTATCACGTTACATGGCTGATCTTCAAGAGCAGCTCCAGTGGGAGTACGGTGCTTTGAAGAGTCAAGCCCATATGCCAATTAGTTATTTTGCTGTAGACGGAGAAGCACTGTCTCTCTAGTGGGCACCACGTTTAGGAAAAGAGAGAGGCAAACAGGACAAATCCCCCAAAACAGTGCCAAGAGCAAGCCGATTCTGGGAAATGCGGCCTGGAAAGAAAGATAACGAGAACTAAGTCCGTCTTCTCCAGGAACGGGAAGACTGGGAGGACACGTGGCAACAGCCTTCCATGTACATGACACACTACTAGCAAAACGCAGCAAACCACTGTTCTCCAAGGCCAGTGCAAACGGGAGAAGTACTAAATGGTGATATTTCAGCAAAGATGCTTTAGGTCAAATATTAAGAAAATCATTCTAACCACGAGGAGAGTTCAGCTACAGAACAGGTGATGGGAGCCCTACTTCGAGGTCTTCAGGAAATGGTAAGAATAAAATCTGTCTAAGAATGGGTATCTTGTCTCCTTGCAACCACCCAAACTTCGAGTGCTCTTTGGTCTCTTTCAGCTACGTTTCTATCATTGTTTGCCTGTATATGATCAGAGAAGCCAGGCCTTCTGCCCCAAAGCTCGAGTAATTCAGTGATGGTTTACATCTAACTGTATAAGTATTAACATAGTGACCTGCACTCTCCCACTATCCTGCCATGCTGCCCTGCAGTTGCCTCTCCTGTTCACCCTGAGCTGCAGAGAGACCTTCCACCGAAACAGAGATTTACACTTCCCACTCGCCCACTGCCCTTTGGCTTTCCGGGTGGGTCCCTCTCCCCGGATTTAGCCCTTCGGCACACAGTCTGCCCAGCAGCAAGGCAGACGTCGCAGAGGACGCCATTCCACGGGCTAATTCAGTCTAATAGGAATTAAAGATGTGTAAAACTAGAAAAGTGTCTCAACACCCCGTTCAGTTCCAGGGAAGGTTACGAAGGCCCAGACCAAGACCTCAGAGAGCCCCCTCCATCCCAGCTCTGGCTGTCAAGCATACAGGCTCCCACTTCCTAATTTCATACCCCTGTTCTCAGCTGCATTAATGTGTATCACTCACTCAGCTGGCAGGCACCAAGTGCGGGGAAATATATTGTACTCCTTGGGGAAGAGCCTGAGCATGCGGTTAAGGTTGCGAGCCAACAAGTCCTTACGGCAGATCTCTATCATGCCTGGAAAATGGTTGATTTTCTGAAAGAGGTGCAGACAAAAACCAGAATCAACAAAGGAACAGCAGGGATCCTCCTCGGGACCCGAGGAAAGCCCACATGCAGAGAAACTGGCACGCAGAACAGGAAGCTGGGCCTGTGGTTGCCTTGAACGTCTGCTGAGGGACAAGATTATGCCACAACTGCTTTATCTGAAGTTCACCAGTGTGATTTATCTGCTTGTTCCATCTCAGCCCTGAAGCTCTCCCTCCCTAAATATCACAGCTTCAGGAAGGGAGCCGCTTGTCATCAAGAACCATTTATTTCATGCTACATTAAAGGGGTTGGCGGCTTTCCAATTCACACTACTAACTGCCAAAGTGTTGCTGATGGCACCGTACCAGAGACACAACAGAAGTAAAGGCTTGTGAACCTGCGCCCTCTGGAACCGATGCAGAGAAGGGGGCACGGGTGCTAGTTTGGACACTTCTGTTTCATTCTGCAACACGTTGTTCCATTAACAGCCCCTGTCTCACCCTCCCTCCTGAGCTCTTCCTGCTGGGCAGCCTTTACATGGGGGTATTTACCTGAAACCGCTTCATTTCCATGACGCGCTCCAGAGAGACCGAGTAGTCCGTCCAATACACTGTCCACTCCTCGTTTTCTCCCGCTTCTTTCAGCCCGCAGCACTGTGCTGCCCGCCGCACTGTACCAAAGTAAGCAGATGACAAGGGGCCAGGCAGGGGATGTAAGTACCAGGGACTGTTAAATCCCCAAAGTAACCAGGGACGGCGCGTGGAACAAACCTCTCCAGGCTGCAGTTCCACTCTCAGAGATGCAAGGTATTGGCAGGACCCTTCAGGAGGTGTCAGAAACACAAGCTTTGCCTGGCTAAACTCACGCCAGCCTCTAGCTGCAGGTGTACGGGGAGCTATCAGCCCCCTAAGTCTGCATGCCTTGGGGACCCAGGGCACCTCCTGAACTACAGCAGGCTTGAATCCGCCATGGGTCTGACACGACACAGGCAGAAACAAGTCTTCTGAAGATACGAGTTTCATCTTCGAAATCAAAAGCTATCTGGCAGCAGAACACACAAGCTCTGGAGCAGAATGTTGCTGCTGGGATGGTTCGTGTTAGTGCCAGTTCTGAATCTGGCCGCTCATAGGGCCGGGGAGGTGATGAAAGTCAATGCACGCTAGGAACCGCTGCGAAACGGTTCTGGTTCCTGTGGTGCCCGCGCTGCTACACCACCTCCTGCTGCGGGTCCCCATCCACCTCCCGTTACCAAACTGCCTGAGCACGGCCCTAGGTGAAACACACAGCGCCTGTCCCTCTGTATAAAAACTGTTTCTCGTGCAGCTGACCAGGCTGTGACCTTCAACAATGCAAATGTGGTTGCCCTGCTAGAATAGTCATTAGCAAATTGGCTAATAATATCCATCAAAAGCTAGGAGTCTGTTCTTTTAAGACACGGCTTGTGGCAGCAAAGAAGAGCAATGCAGGGGAGGGGACCAGCTCCCTGGAGCACGTCACTGGAGATGCATGGCAAACGGAGAGGTTCCGGGTACCGATCCTGCCTGTTCCATCACTGGCTTTACGTTAAACAGTTGAGAGTTCTCACGTCATTTCCCCAAGCACAGGTACCAGTCTTGCGCTGTAACTGCCCCTAACTAGACCCTCACCAATTTTAGTAGAGGCAAATGCAATTTTAGGCAAATGCAGACGTACGGGGACGTGAGGGCTTGCACTGCTGTTGCACATTTCGTATCTCTTTCAACCAGAGGCACCTGGGTCCAAAGCATGAAAAACTCCATATGTTTCACAGGGGCCCAAGTCGCTTGCAACCAATAAATACATAAACCAAAAGCGACTGCGCAGTGGAAATTCGGTACCAGCGCTCCTCCCTGGCTGAGCGGGCACCCAAAGAGCTTGCTGTCGTTGAGCTGATCCAAAGGGACACCCCGCAGCGTCTCAGACTTACCGCTCTCGTACTTGCAGCTGGTCAGATTGATGGAGGGCACACTGGAATTGAAAGAGACGACAGAACAGCCGCTCAGCGAGGAGCTGGGGCCCCGTCCCGTGCGCAGGCGGGAGGGAGGGAGACAACTGCGCTCCTGCACACGTGCACACAACTCGCACTCCGCAGAGCTAACGGGCAAATCTGATCTGGAGCCAACAGGGGCCCAGCAAGACCTGAGGCAACACGGCAAAGAGGGGTCGCGAACGCGGGTCCTTCCTTGGATGCGTCACGCTTGGGATCGCT